CACCGAGGGACGATAACTTGTCCGAAACATTCTTAGCAGCGTGTGCGATAGCTGGCAGAATATCAGAGCGGAACAGGTGCACGCAGAAATCATCCTCCTCCTCCAGAACTAAGCCCTGCAAGATGCACCATCCAGCAGCTCTACTTTGGAGAGCCGCATCGGTCAGAGTCTGTGTGAGGATGATGTGGACGATTTGTTCCCGGAGCAGGAGCTTGCGGCACTTGGTGTCCTGGATGATGTTGGCGACGGCGACGGCAGCGGCAGAGCGAGACTTGGGGTCGGGATTCTGAAGGTCGTTGATGACAGGGATGATCTTGGCTTCTCGAAGAGCGGCGAGTTCAGGGTCTGAGGGTGCCTTGACGGGTTTGGCGAGGGGGTCTCGTCGCTGAGAGGTACCGGCTCGGTTGCGACGCGATTTACCCATGGTGTGCGGGTTGGGCGGGGTCTAAATTGGAAAATTCCTTTTTTTTTTTTGGTCCCCAGTCGTCCTACTCTGTAGCTATGTGAAGGGAGAACGCGAAAGAAAGACGGAAGAGAGGCGGTGCTGGTGCCAATTGGCGGCGTGAAGGCTCGACGCGAGAGCTTACAGACGCAACTTTTTTTTTTCCCCATGTCTTTTTTGTGTCTTGGTGTTGCTGCCCATCGTCACCAACGACCCCACAGCGGATGCCCCGCTGGGTAGATGTGGCGTCAACGGCGGCGACACGGGCATGTCTACGGAATAGTACTTCGTGTAGTACTACTCCGTACTCCGTACAGAGTACGTGTGTACCAAGTAATACCCTGTATTAGACGGTTTCGACATGGTCTGGCCAAATTCAATCAGCTGCCTAGCTGGGTAAAGTGGTCACCTTTGCCGTCCGGTGCAAAGTGCCCGCCCAGGGCCCTTAAATGTCCCGTCGTGTCTTGGCCGCGTCCCGACATTCAACTCATGTTTGCGCCGCAGTCTCGTCTCACCACATCTGCCCAGGGTTTGAGACACCAAGATCAGCATTTTCATGGTTGCAACCTATTCATCGTCTCATTGTCCCATCAGTAGATACTAACCCGGGAACCAGGTATCCGGGCACCTTCCCAGTTGCATGAAAGCCTACCATGCAATGCACACCGTGTATCACACACCGTACACCGCACACCGCACACCGAGCTCCGTACTCCGTACTCCGTACGCCACCTGCCAACTACATCATCTGGCAAATTTGAGTCAATCCAATCCCTCTTCCTGCAACGCGCTCACATACATCACCAACTCACACACCTGCATACGCCCATGACGGGGAGTCCCGACGCAGATCCTTTTCCTCGTCTCAGTCATCCCCCGATGACCCTATATGTTTCTCTGCGGCCCAAAGCAAACGTCGCAGATCCATATCTGTCCTTGCCGTGTACGGAGTACTCCGTAAGTCAAGACAAGATCGTGATTTGACTTGACGCGCCCGCCTTGTTTCCCGTTGCCATTATCGCACCCTGCAATCCTGGCCAGCTCCGGACCCTTGTGAGCTGTGGCTGCTGACATGGTGTCTGTATCCTGATCATCACATCGTCTTCGGTTGCTGGGTACCTTGGAGCCAGAGAACCTCACATCATGCCCGCATCGCGCGGATGGCATCCACGGCATCTATGGCCCCCATGGCGTCATGCCGACGAGATATCCAAGAAGGACGATGACCTCCCCTTACCCAGGCACTCCAACCATGGCCGTAGCTACGGTGCGCAGTGGCAATCGGCTAGAATGCCACGCCGGACCTGGGTGAAACGCCTTGCAGCATATGCGCTTGTCATGGTGTTTCTTGTATACCTCTTTAACCGCGCCCATTCGCCAAGTTCGTCTGCCCTGCCGGGAAGCAGAGACGATCCCGACGCCGTCGCGGCCGCTTACAAGGAGCGCTTTGATCCAGCGCGGACGGCGCATCTTGACGGTGCGCCTAAGAAGCCATCGCCTCCGCACCAGCCGCCACCTGCAGAGGTCGATGGCCAACAGAAAGGCATTTCATCGCCGAAAGAGTCCATTGATGAAGAAAGCAAGGAAGGTCACAAGCCTGACAACGGCCGTGCCAAGTCTCCTCCCAAATATGACGGCCCAATACGGTATCCTGCACTGGCTTCGTCACTGGGAGCCATCGCAACGACCGGCGGAGATTCACCCCGTAATCGCAACGTCCTATTTGCAGCTGCCAGTCTCAAAAGCGCTTCTACCTTGCTACCTATGGCATGCGAAATGGCAATGGAGCGCCAGAGCTATGTTCATTTTGCCTTTATCGGCACGGCGGATATTGCGATGCAGGACCTCCTCGAGGTCAATGGTATCGACAAGACGTGCCCGCTTCTTTTACATGGTATGACTTGTTGCCGTGGAAGATTGTCTGGATCGCCTTCTAATGCCCTGCGCAATAGATGCTCGCCCAGACCACTACCAAATGTCGACAGAGAGTCGCATGTCCTTGGCCATTGTGAAAGCACTGTGTACGTTGTTGCCGCCCGCTCCACGATACTGTCTAGCAAGATATATCTGCTTGTCATCAAATGCAGTCTTCTACATTTCACCATCTCTGGTTATGTTTCGCCGCCGTCTGGGTATCTAGTCACTGTGGTTAAATATTTTGTCGCCCTACTGTGCTTTGTTCTAGGTCGCAAGGATTTTCAAGCTAATAGTGTCATCCTCAGATCTTTTGAATTTCCACATGCACCCACAAGCGGTATTCATAGATTCCACAAACGGAGAAGAAAGCTACTTCCTCCGCGCGGTCCGAGACCAGGTTTCGTCCACGCAATCTGCTCTTATAGAGCTACCCGAGCATTCTCGAACAAGTCTCGCGTGGATATCCAAACTAGATTCAGCAGCTCTGTCAGGTAAGTTCAAGGGCGCGTCGCATAATGAGGTAATCGAATTAACCGGACTGGAAATCTTGTAGCTTGGAATGATGTTCGATTTGACATCTTGATTCATGCAGCACCCACCGGTACAGCAAACCTCGAGAGGCTGCTCAGGTCGATTGCAAGGGCAGACTTAGCTGGTATTCAGACCCCACACATTACCGTCGAGCTTCCTTTCGTCGCGGATGCGCCGTTGGAGTCCTATCTTGCAAACTTCAAATGGCCGCGTCCAACTCCATCCGACGGACAAAGACCACAGATGATTTCACTCCGTCGCCGAATTACGCGACAGCTGATGGAAGAGGAAGATAGTTCTGTGCGCTTCATCGAATCGTTCTGGCCAACTGACCCTCGGCGCTCTCATGTTTTGGTGCTAGCTCCTCATACAGAGGTTACGCCCCAATTCTTCCAATGTTCGTCTCCGTCTCCCTCGGCCTAATACCCCTAGTCCGACTTCGCACTAATTGAATATTAGACGTGAAATATTCACTTTTGTATCAGCTTCACTCAAAATTTGCTCGGATGGAAGATTACCACGCAAGCCTACTGGGCATCAGCCTCTCAGTACCAACTACGCTAATAGACGGAACCCAGCCGTTCACACCTCCCAAGCCACTCCACGGCGACAAAGACGAGCCGGGTGAGACCGCCTTCTTGTGGCAGCGGCCCAACAGCGAGGCCATGGTGTTTTTGGGCGGAAAGTGGGTAGAGCTTCATCACTTCGTGGCGCAAACACTCTACAAGAAACGATCAATGTCTTCAACACCCGCCCTACTGGCAAAGAAGCAGGCCAGCAAGGAATATCCCGCATGGCTGGAATATGCTCTGCGGCTGTCACGCGTAAGAGGATACTTTACACTGTATCCTAGCCGAGAAACGGCGAAAGCTATCATCGGCGTGCATAGCGACGTTCCCGATGCACCAGAGGAATACTCAAAGGATGAATCGAGACCAAAGTCGCCCAAAGACTACTCAGATAAAGTGGACAAGGATTTTGACCCAGTATCTCCAGTCGACATGTTGGAGACCCTACCTCACAATGGGGAGCTGCAATCACCTGGCCCCCTACCACTATTGTCGTGGGATGGCCAGGCTAAGACGAAAGACAGCATTGCCGAGGATGCAGGTGAGTACACTACATTGTTCCGGAGAGAGGTTGGTGAGTGCGGGGAGGACTATTTGAAGAATCATCCCATTGCAAACAACATGGCGGGGGACCTATTTTGTAAACCCAAGGCGTGATATGGTCTTTTGTTGTGTTTCTGTGTCCTTGGGTTGGGATGAGTCGTGCCTGTATATTATTTATGCTTGTCAACGTGCAAAACAAAGCGAAACTGGGCGAATTAGTGTCCTTTTGGATTCAGTAAATACTTGGGCTAAATGAGAGACACCTCGAAGTATTTTATCACAGTGTTAGATTCTGTAAATGCCTCGGCATGTTATTCTCACAGTCAAATGTTCCCTGGCTGGAAACGATATGGGGATATCCAAAACACAAAGATCAACCCCCTCCCTGATGACGAATTCTGGTGGTGACGAGTAAAACTATACTCGAGCCGATGATGCAAAAGGCCAATGTCCCCAGAATCTACGCAATTAGTACCCGCACATTTCTCTTTGCTCTCTCCCTACACGTATCCAAATGTAGTAGATGGGGGGGTGAATGCAGAAATGGTTTGTGTGCACTTACTAGCTGCGTCCTCCACCCGGTCTGCACGATGGCCGCCTTCTTGCTATACTTGTTCACTGTTTCTACGCACAGTACTTAGCTCGCCGTCCTCGACAATTTGCCAACTTATTCCCTCTTTCTTGCCCAGGAAGGAAATTAAAATAAAAAAAAAAGCGTACTGATGTAATTTGCCAGCCCTAGGCCCAGCATAACGACGCTGAAAACCCAAAAGATGGCCCCGAGAGGCTTGGATATGCGTCTTTCAAGATCCGTCGGCTTGGAGTTGATGTGGAACGAGAGCGTGATGGCAACGGACAGGATGGCCATGAAGACGGATAGACGGAGGTAGGATAGGAACGCTGCGCAATTAGCCACTGCGTTCGCATCGCGGGGGGGGGAGGGCAGAGACGTACTCCGTTCATTGGCACAGTGGTCGCGCGCGTCGCTCGTCTCGTTTTCAAAGAGGAGCGGGCCGAGGAGCGGCCATGCGAAGAAGGCCGATGTTCCGGCGCGCCCGGACCTGTCGATCGTTAGTGCTGTTTCTTCTTCATTGAATCGTCGGTTGTTTTGGCGGGGGAGGAGGAAGATTCGAACCCTATGTTGCCGACTTCTACTGGCGCTACGAGCGACGTGATTGGGGTGCAGCATTTCACGCTGAGGTCCTCGTCGTCGAGGTAGGTAGTGGGGGGGCGCGATGGGGGTGCGGTCGGCATTGTGGCTGGTTTTGCCCCCATTTCCGAGCTTGTGTCGGTCATGCGATTGTGAAGGAGGAAGTTTTGGTAGCTGGAGGTGGTGGTGGTTGGTGGTCTTGGAGGTTGAAGTGTGGGATGGCGTCATGTGAGGACGACGTTCCATCACTGCTCCCCTTTACGCCGCGTTCTTAGATGGCTGGTTTTTTACCGGGGGAATCAAGAGTCCTTTTTTTTCTACCAAGGAAAACATGCCATGGGATCAAATTATCTCAGCGGTATGTGTTTCGATAAATGGAAAATCGGCGGTTTATCGTGTGTCGCTCATAAAAGCTCTAAGTACGGAGTATGTATCATGCATGTCTAGCATCTTCTAGCATCTACGTTCACACAAGATCGTCATTCTCCCGACACAGCCTTGGAGATGTATCAACTCATCACGCAGAGAACCCCCACACGTCAAACCACCTCCTCTCATCATGACCCAAAGGCCCATCCAGCCTCCCGAACCTCGCCCTACGCCCTGTATTCGCCTCTGGCAAACACATCCACTCCCTCACACAGTCCGGCACCTCCTCCTTGACATGAGCAATACAGATAAGTGCCTGTTGATCCGTCAGCCCCTCGACAACGACCTCTCCCCTCTTCCCAACTTCGCTCCGAACAACCTCTCCGCCAGCGTGTATCTTGTTCTCCCCATCTGTAAGGAACAAAGCACACTTATCGCGGACTGCATCATCCATGCCACTAAACGCCTCGTCTAGAACAACCACATCGGGAGACTTTATCATGGATCGTATAAAGAGCGCCACGCGTTGAGCCGAGAAGGAGACTTCTCCAAACATGTATTCGTCCGCCCACGACAAGTCGTCCCCGCGTAGATTCGACTCAGAATTAGGCCGCAGTTCGAGAGTGAACCACCGCAATGCAGCATCTACTTTTGCCCTGGCGCTGGCGTCTAGTTTCGGCCGCGCGCCAAATGTAGCTGCCCATGCGTTCTCAATGACCTTGCGAATGGTGTGGCCTCGGGGCATGTGCTGGTGGACTTCGGGGCTGGAGTGGCCGATGCGCGATTGGATGTCCCAAAATGTCAAGGGTTTCGTGGACGATCCGGGTTCTGGCAGACGGCTGCGGCCAAAGAGCTTGATGGGCATGGAGTACGCCTGCGGATGGTCGGAGCCGAGGAGAGACACGATGGTGGTTTTGCCGGAGCCGTTCGGGCCAAAAACTCCCCAGCGCTCGCCTCTTCGAACGGTCCAGACGAGGCCGTCCTTGGGGCCCTGTGGCGTTTCTTGCGACCAATTTCCCAGGGCAATCTTGTCCCCGTATTGTACACGGCACCCGTCCATTTCGACGAGTGGCTCTGCGTCGGGATTTGCAGGAGTTAACTCGTGCTCGCTGCCCTGGCTTCCGTTTGTCCGAGTACATGGCACATTTGACCCCAGGACGCGCCCAACTTCAGATAGTGTATGGATTGGGAGTTTATCGTCTTCCAGGAGGCCGCCCAGCTTCACTCCTTGAACATACCTCCGCAGACCGTCCAACACAACCTCTTTAGGTCCCATTGATGCAACCTGGCAGTCGTTTCTCAAGTAAATCAAATGCGTAATCCACTCCGGTAATGGATCTTGCGGCCTCGCGCTCATCACCAATCTAGGAGTTGCCTTCTCAGCAAGCGATTGCAACAGCGGGCTGAGTCCCGACACCGTAGTCGGATCGAGCCCCATGAACGGCTCATCCAGAAGCAAAACCTCTGGCCGTGTGAGCAAGGCTCGTGCAATTCGTGCCCGTCTTCCCTGCCCGTTGCTCAAAAAGGTAACAGGCAAGTCCAGCAAATGGCCCAATCGCAAATCCGTAACCACCCTGTTCAACAGTTCTTTCGATCCGGCGCCGTCGTTATCTTCCCCCAGCGGTGCCTTGAGGGGATTCAGCTCCGTATTCCCCAAGAGAAAGTCTCTCAATGGAAAATCAGTAATCTCCCTCCTCGACTCATACCTGGCCGACAGGTACGCTGATGTTGTCACATTGCCTCCCAGTCCACCCCCGGCGGCTTCCGCGTCAAAGCCAACGTACCGAATAGCATTTTGCGGATTCCTCAGCCGCAAGGATACATCTTCGCCGGATAAGTATGGGTATGATCGAGCCGTAGGCGGCTCACAAAGCAATCGCCCTCGGAGGATTTGGAGAAACGTCGTCTTTCCCGAGAGCGAGGGCCCCACGACGCACCAATTGTGCGGTTGGAGTGACGAAGATGGCAGCTCAAAGGATAGGCCATTGAATAAGGATGGATTGGCATGAGAAACCTGGGAATTTGGATGATGGCGATGAAAAGTGCCATTCGCAATGCGAATAATGGGCAGCCGCGAGGGTATGGATCTCATAATGTCTGGTGCGGCCTAACCGTTGCCTATGGGTTGTGACGGAAGCCTCACATCCCGACTTGGGTTTCCAGCGAGATCCTATTCGGCAAAGGGCATCGATGTTACTCCGTAGTGTGACTCAAGTTGAATTCAAAGTAGCCAGCTCCGTATGGTTTGGTAATAGCCGGGATGAATTGGCATTTTGACATGACAAACCGCGGGTCAGAACGCAGAGGTACGTACCTTTGAGCACCGGCCAACCAACGGACGCGAGGCTACTCGTAGCCTGAAGGCAGCTCCAAGCTTCATCATCGACACTCACAGACACCACCATCAACGCCAACCTGCACCACGCATTGCCATCTCCGCTCTCACTGCCATCCTCGCCCTACACCTTGCACCAGCACGAGGCCCAAATCAACAACCGCACAAGATACACCACATAACTTCTTCCCTCCACAAACCTACGTCAAGATGGTAGACCTCGCCTTCCCATCCTCGTGCATCTCCAAGAAGACTAACATTTACAGTCGATGCGCATCGTCCCCGCAAACTCCAACCCCGAGTCCTTCACCCACACATCGCACACCTCGTCCGCCCCTTCCGCCCCCGGCGTCCACGATACTCTCCGCCACGGCGTCGGCCAGTCCCCCTACGACGCGGCCGCCAACAAGCCTTCCTCCGCACACCCTCTCGAAGCCCGTCTCAAGAACTGGGAGGCGACCCAGGAGGCCGTCCGCATGGAATCGCTCCGTCGTACATTCGGAATTGCCGAGCCTGTCCGTCGGGGCATGGAGCTCAAGATTGTCAGAGACGGCGAGTGGCGGCCCTTGGCTCTTGGAAACGGCTTGGCCAGCGTACACGAGGACATCCTGAAGGGACGAGAAGACACGATTACGTGGGAGGATGTATTCACCGGCGAGGAGATGAAGGGTGTTCCTGGAGTTCATGATGAGATGGAGAAGAAGCTCAAGATTCAGTAGTAGAACAAGCGGGCTGCGGTCTTCTGGATTTCTGGGGCATGAATGCGGATGATGGAAGCGGCTAGATTATGTGTAACATTATTACGACACAATACAGTAACCATTTTGGACTACAGAGTGGGGGGCAAAATCTATTCGACTTTGTCTACTCCAACCCTGTGATAATTCCGCCCAAGATACTGCGATATAGCGGCGTGGATAAGGGCTGCCATGCCATGTCGTGAAATATGCTTCGGGATACTGAAGGTGTTACTACGTGCCTAATTAGTGAGTGAGTCCTTGGGATGTTCTAATACCTCAACTTGAATGCTACACTTTCCCATGTCGTGCTTGAAAGCCGTGGGCAAATCCGGTCACAAGCAAGTCACAAGATTCGCAAGTTTGTAAGAACAGTAGTGAATTGACTGCAATTCCTCTATCCTGTTGGTGAAGACGGCCTAGTCTCCAAAGGCCCGCGCTGATTGGGTCTATACCCAACGTTTTTGACAAATATATATAACAAGGCCTCTGGATGAAAAGGTTGACAATGATAAAAATAGCCAAATCATTTATACATGACGATGCGCCAATGTTGACTCCGGTAATCCTTGCGTTCTTCCATCATGTTTCCCATCAATCGCTGCTTTCCAGTTCCAAATAGAATAAACCCAAAACGATGTGCTGAGTATTAGAATGAGTGTGTGTATGTTGATTGGCTCTTCAAGCCGGGAGGTGACTATGTTGTGGCTACCAAGCTGCATGCCACAGACTCGGTAGGCCGCTGACTCCCTTGCAGGTAAAGGACGCCATTCTCAGGCTTCGCTAGGCCTCTTTAGTTCGATAGCCAGCTCGTCGTGGAAAATGTACATGTCGACGTATGTTCTGTCTTTCCAAAAAGGCTCCGGCAATAAAATGAGCCGGCACAAAAATCGCAAACAGCACCTCTCTAGTCGTGGTTAAAACAAATATCCACAAAAGTGCAGTGAGTTAAGGTAGATCAGCGGGATAGGAGAGGCCCTCATAAGATGACGCAGCACATTCCACCCGGTCTGGATCGCTGTCCGTCTCCGCTTCCGCCTGGAAGGTTTTTGCTTCCCGACTTGGGCTCTTCTTCGTCCAGGTCCTGAGGACGAATGCTCATATGCACTACATTGGGGCTTTCTGTGCTGAATTGGTACTCTGTCATTGAGGGTTAGAGAAATGCTTTACTCTTCACACCATGGCTCAATTTGAAAAAATGGCTTACTCTTCAGCTGTTCTTTATCGTCCAGTAGCTTTCCGAAGTGAATCAGTCTTATGCTGCTGGGACTAGCAGGCTTCGCCTCCCAATCGCTTCTCCACTCTCGTAGAATGAGTTCCTTCAAGGTGTAGATGCTGATACTAAACGGGTCTGGCTGTCCAGATTCTGTCTCGTCGGGCATGGCAACATTTCTCCTGGTGAGATACTTGGCATCGATCTTGTACGGATGACGGCTTCCCGAAGTCAGCAGGAGGGTGATGTTGCAGACAGGACCGTCCGACTGGCCAGGGGTGGTATGAATATCGTCCTGCGCAGGCCCAATAGCCATGATGGAATCGCTCCTCTCCTTAGTAGGCGGCACGGGGGCCACTTCCTCTTTCTCCTTGCCCTTTGACACGGCCTCAGTGTTGTCCTCATTTTCTGTGCTGCGTTGCTCGGGATCGGTAGGGATTGCCTTGGATGCTGGCAGTGGCTCAGTGGCGACAATCTCAGACTCCTTGGAGGCATCGACACGGGCGGCCGGCTTTAGGTCCTCGGCCGGCGTGGTTCCTTGGGCCATGTTCTCCATGGGGACGGCGTCGCTGGGCTGTTGGAGTCGAGTGTTGTCAGCGGGAAGACCGACGGTTTTGTGGTTGTTGGCAGAACTCATGGCTGGGTCCATGGAGATGCGCAGCAGCAACAACGGCGGCGGCGGTGGCCGAAAGACACAGAAGCACTGGGGACTGCAGGGTGGCTGTACGACGGGGGTCCTGCAGCCAGCAAGCAGGGACGCAAGCAAAGCGCAGGCGTATAAGATAATGCTGGGGCAATCAATTCATATATGGGCTCCAAGATCAAGCGGCCCTCGACCTGGCCTTGAGCGATAAACAGCAGAGGAGGTCGGATGTCCTCGGAGACTAGTGGTAAGATGATGATGTAGATGTCAGGTTGAGCAAAGTCACGGATTGACTACGAGGATGACCAGGCTCGCCGGAGCAGGCGGGAGTGGGGGCACACACGGAAGCCCGGCTTCTCAAGTGCTCCATGTCAGGTCCTCCTGCGTAGACAAGAAGGAGCGACGAGCGACACAGAGTGTGAGAGGGAAAGACGGGCTTGCGACGCCGCGCCAAAGTACACATGCGAGCGTGCAGCGTGCAGGTGTACATGGGAGTGCACCTACTCGTCTGTATACACTCAAGGTCCTTGTGTGCAGTGACGCAACATTGAATATTTGTATACAGAGATGGCTACTGCCATCTTTTGGGTTGAGCGGTGTGTATCAGAGCATCCTCAAACGTCTTGAACTTGATTTTTTACAGGCATGTGGTGGCACTGGTGGCTATCATGTTCGTGCAGCTGCGGGCTCGTCCATGCTCCCTGTGGCTCATGCTGTCAATCTTCAAAGAGCTCAAGGGCTAGTGTTTGCCTCAACAGAAGGTCGCGGGTCTGGGGATGGTGGGCCGTGGGTAATGATTGAGATCTATTCGTGGGACATTGTGCCCAACCGTCATTAAGCGGGCCTCTAGTTGAGTTGCAACCTACCTAGGTACTTAAGTACTTTACAACAGGACGGGGCAACTAAGAATGCAAGTACTAATACTCCGTACTAATGAGGCCTCTTCAGACCCACTGAAGACAGACAACCGAGTAGTACATACAAACAGCCTTCAACGTTGAGCACAAACCTCGAATGCATTTGCGCCAGAGCAGCCGCAGCCGCCGTGAGGTCGAAGCAGCACCTTTGTATGCCAATCGGTAAAACGCCATGCACACCCATCTCGACACGGCCAGTCGTAATTGGGCGCTCCGTCACAATGAGCTCATTCACGCAGAGAGTCGACACAGAAATGCCGAGCAGACAACATCCATCTCAAAATAGCCGGCGGCATCCCTCAACCCATGTCGGTGCAACGAGCAGCAGTTTGCCTCCTTTGCATGCGAGTTCCCCCACGAGAGAAAAGAGAAGAAGACAAAGGCTCGTCCAAGATCTAATCAACACCTTGCCGCCTCCCTTCTCCACCTGAATCTAGATGCATGGACGATTCCCCGTCCAGTTCGTCACAATATACGCACTAGCACTCCGTGCTCACGCCTTGAACCCTGCAGGCATGAACAGCCTTTGCTCGTCTTCTGCGTGCCTCATGATGCTGGCCCAAAACACGGCCCGGTTCCGCAAATCACGCCGCCAGAATTAAAAGGCCGAGCCCAACAAACTTCAGCTCGCGAACATGAGCTTGCCAGCACTCACATGCGTGTGGCATGTTTGTGGCGTCAACTTCTCCAACGACAGATATACAGCCCCCTCCCCTTTCTTCGCCTCTATACGCAAAGGCAAACACGACAGCTGGGCACAGCATCGATGGGCTGGCGTTTCGCCCCTTGCGGTGCAGTAAGGCGTAACCAGATTGCTGGTATACCCACTAAGAGCTGAAAGCTGAGTTGGTGGCTCAGTGTTCCAGATTGTGCATCCTCTTCCTCATCGCGGCCTGGGCTGGGCTCACCAACACAGCCAATGTTTTTAATCGAGGATCGTATTACTTGATTGCATACCCCGTACTTCGAATCTGAAGTACGAGTAGTTGACCTGGTCTTAATTCGACGCACCGCCATCCGTCACAACGCTTGGTACACACTCGGTATGAAATACCTGCTTTGCTTTCCTACCGTAGTGAGAATCTACCATCCGTGCTTACAGAAAATACAAAACATGAAGACAAATGTATTGGATTTATTGGAAAACGCTCTGGGAATAGCTAGTAAATGTAGCACCCAATATCCAGCCGTAGTTTTAAGTAGCTGAAGATTGACAAAAAGTATAATGGATCCGCCTAACCATCTCCTCAGCTTAGCCTCTCTTCAGGCTCTCTTTTACAACGAACCAAGCTTCTCCGGACGGAGGAATAGTGTAATCCGATCGTCTTCCAAATCATCAGAAACAAAACCTCCCGTGGTCATTGTCGGACCAGCAGGTAGATCAGCTACAGGCATTCCTATCAAAATAGATGAGGCCAATAGAGCACTTCGCCATAATAGTTCAGGGGCTAGCTTTGTCAGGCCATTGCGTACTATTGTTATCATGAATACACATAAAGAACTAAAAAGCATGCAAATAGCGAGGAACCAGAAGATTGAGAAACTTTGATACAAGCTTGTGCCCAGATCACGTAATGCGGTTCGTGGCAGCATGCCAAATAGGTACATGATAATTCTCATATGAATTTTCTCCGGCTTTTAGACCTACTAATCTAACTTGGGTTCCTAAGCACTACCTACTTTAGGTACCTAGGTAGGTATCCATACAACCAGACGGTTTTGTGAGGTATTCAACACATTTGCTGGCTTGGACAGCCCCCGCATGTATGAAGCGGTACAGGGTACTCCGTATACGAGAGAATGCTACTGCATTAAGCAACCTGCTCTGTCGTCTTCGCGAAAAGAAAAGAAAATGTGCGGAGACGTTGGCTTTATGTCGTATATTGAAATGCCGTGCACCCATAGGTAAGATTTGTTATGTCCACTGTCACTGACACTATCTGCAAGATAATTCTTCGCTTATAATGTACGCCTGACATGAAAGTCCTGCCAAAACGTCCGTTCAACTTCAACCTGTCTCCAATCTCAGAGCGCCAACAAATCGCCGTTACTCCCTGCCCCTTGCGCCGGTTGCAGCACAGCTTGTGGTGCATGAGCACTGACAACATAGCCCGTCATATTCCCGCTACTGCCGCCAAACATATCCTCGCCTTGGTCTAATGTCATCGCCGCCATTTGCGTTCCAATACTGGAAAAGTATGCGTCTGCATCGCTGACTGCTTGCGACAGGTTGCCCTCCCCGTTGGCAGGGGCGGCATTACGACTCCTCAAGTCAATATTTGTAGGCTGCCCGCCACGACCAAACATGCTGATGCTCTTTTGATTATCTGCATCCACCAGCAAATTCTGCTTTTGCAACGCAGGTGATTCTTGAAGTTTCCGTGGGCGCGCTGACCGGAAGACTGTCTGGACTGGTTTGAGGTATATGGTGGCCAGGGTTCCGACATTGAGACACATTTCCTCCAAGGTCGGCGCTTCTAACCTCTCTGCTTCAGCAGTGATCGGCGGCTTGTCTCCCATGACGATCTGCTTCGCTGCGTTCATGTCTGTTGACAACAGTCGCCAATACATGTACGCTCGATCACGTAAGTCGGGGTTGTCTGTCTCCTCAGTCGCCCATTTCAAAACCCTTGGAACCAGTTCTTGGGCTCTGGTTGGTCTTTGAATGAATAGCTTCACCGTGGCTGTCAGGAGAGCCAGTTGAACCTCAACAGGCTCCTCTGAGAATGTATAGAGAAAATCCTCCAGAAGTGCATCACTATTCTCAATACGATCGGCGTACTGTCCAATAACCCAGACCATTGCAGCCTTGGCCTCTGGTTCATCTAACGAATCGAGATGCTCGCACAAGGTGCCGATGATGGACTCGTACTGATTGGGGTATTTCCTGAAAATATTCTTGATGACCACTGTCGCCTCCTGAACAATGTACGTGACTTTCGTTGAGACAAGCTCCAATAGAAGGTCAATACACCGCTTAGCCGCTGGTTCAATCTTTATAGCCAACTTTCCTATCGCACGAACGGCCTTTCGAACAAAGTGGACGTCAATTTCCGTCGCGTATTCTCGCAGCTCGGTCAGCACCTCATCAATATTGTTTTCATTGGCAAGCATGAAAATGAGTTCCAGTTTCGTGACTTTGACGTAGATTGGGTCATTGTATTTACAGAAAAATACTCGGATATCGTTCTTTAGCACCTCGGGTCGTCGTTGTAAGATCAACAGGGCATTTCTAAGTGCCAGGTACTGGACTTCAGGGCCTTTGGCGAGAAGAGTAACTAATGGTGGCGAAAGCTTTCTGCAAAGTGTAGTGATTTGCTTTTGGTCTGCAATGTAATTCAACAGGTACAGAATAACGCGGATGCATGTCAACACAACAGATGAATTTGAGTGTGAGAGGCGTGGTGCAATGCGCTCCGCCAGCAAAGCAGCTTCGCCTGTTTCCTGTGGCACATAGGACATTAACGCCTCAAGAATGTACGTTTGGCCCCATCTATTCCTGTGTTAACATGGTTCAACTCCACCAGGATTTGGGATTTTGTCAAGCCACCTACTCTGAGCAATCAGGCAAGATTGCCACCATTTTTGATGCATTGCTATAGTCAATGGTGAGCTTAATAGCATCACTTCTTTCCCAGATGTCCATCAGTCCCGCCAACGCACTAGCAACAACGGTAGGATTATCATCACGTAGCAGAGAGTTTAGTCTATCGATAAGGTCCGACCGTTCAACCATTTGTCGGTCGTGGTCGTAAAGTTTGGCAACGCAGAAGGCTGCTGTTTTGCGGACGTATGGATCGTTGTCGCGCAGCATATGCTTTACGATAGGAACTGTTGCTTCGACAAACTCTTTGACGTGTATATATGACATTGTTCGCAGTGCGAGGGCTCGTACTAAGGGATTTTGGTCTTCCATGTCCTAATACAAAGTCAGCATCATCTTTTCCATCTCGCAGAGTTCAGGTATCAATTACATTTTCCAGCACCGGAATGGCCTTGACGGCAATTTCCGGTCGTACTCGAGCATAGTTGACCAGGTATAAGAAGCACCTAGACGTTGTTAGTCGCGACATGGCTTGGCCAATGCTAGGCGTGTTGGCATCGTACATCTTCTTGATTTCCAAGCTGGGAATGTGCATGCAGGCAATTATGTCCGGAAACAGCGCCACCATATCGTTATTGCTCATCGTCATGTTCGCAACGATTCTCTTGAGGGCAACTTTTTTTATCGCATAATTCTTATCCTTCTTGCCGCCGCTGTTCAGCTCGAGTCGCAGCTCGGCTACTTTGCCCTGTGGAGTTCTTAGTCTATCGAATGCCAACGGTGGCATGTACATTGGGAATACAGCCATCATCTCGCAATGGGCAGAGGATCAGGTGCGCAGAGTATAGAAAGCATATTATGAGCAAGACAAAGGCACGGAGGGCGCTGCGATGTCGCCACTGCACTTCCAATACAGGTTATTAAGCGATGTAGAGGGGTCGGTTGAGTGTCAAAGTGACAACGGTCAGGAGTCTTTCCCGGGGGCAAGTACAGGATAAGGTCGCAAGGTGGTAGAAAACAAAGTAGGGAGAGCAAATGTATGACAGAAGAAGATGGGAGCAAGCTTACTCGAGCGAACAGCTTTGAGTCCCCGCCACTGTCTTTAGAAGACATGGTGGTGGTAGCTGGCGGTTGTGGTTATATGGCGCGATGACCCAGGACACCTGGTTACCAGGTTACAAATTACGTAGCAAACACAGCTGGCCTGTGGTGGTGGTGGTGGTGGTGGTCTGCTCTTCGTCTCGGCGATGGGAGTGATGCTGCTTCGTCACGCGACGCAAAATGCTGATGGACGTGCCGGTCGCCGGGACTCACTCGTCCACACCACCCTCAGCCTTTACTCTGACAGAGTTGTGCAGATTCGTCGTCTAAGGAGGCTGGTTTTCGCCCAGTGTATGCTTCGATGATCAATGGTCCCAAGCGTCAAATGTTGATAGGGCGGCACGCCCGGTTGGGAGATCCAACCAGTCAAGAAGAGATACGACCGCACAGTCTGTTGCTGTTGGAGGGTGGGAAATCGTCACATGTAGCTTCAAGGGAAACTTTGCGCCGGCGGACCAACCCTTGTCGTGCTGTCAATAGAAACGTCGTGATGAGATGAACCCAAGCGTATAAAACTGGCAGCACAAAGGCCTTGGGTCGAGAATGATGTGGTTCAACTTCGCCGGGTTCGTAACGACAACCAGTTGACAAGAGGCAGGTTACAATTGTAGCTGAGTTCTCGTTCCGTCAAGCCCGAGTCGAAAGGGGTACTCGAACCAGCGGTGCCAACGTGCCGGCGTCTGCGCTCAAGCTCAAGTGCTGCCAACTTGACTTGAACGTTGTAACTACATCGACCTGTACCAGCCTGAGTCAGGGTCCTAGACCCCACTGTAAAGTAACCGAGCAGACACTGAGCAGTCGGATGTCCACTGAGACCATGCTGGAGCTGCCTATTTTCGGAGCACAGAGAATCCAAGGTGCTATCGATAAGGACCCACGTGCCGGAGCCACCAATTGATACAATCAACGACCGACGCCTACTCAACGCGGTGTCTAGGCCTCAACCTCCATCGTTACTCCGACTGCAACAATCAATCGAGCCGCTTCGCGTCTACGTCTGCAATAGCAATGTCTTCACCAGACTCAAATGTTCCCACCTGGGTTTCGCAGCTGCGCTCACCTCCAGGTGCCAAAGCCAGGGTCCCAGGCGTCCCCGACCCCATTGGCTTCTCCTCAGGCCCGTCGGGCTCCAAGGTACGTTCGCAACTCGGGAGGCATGGCGAATTGCCCGTGCTCTCCTCGTTATCTTCAACCTCATTTCTCTCCATTATATATTAATGACCAATGAACCAGAAACCCAGCAAGGATGGCAAAAGCCAACCTCCTCGAAAGGCACCCACTGGCGAAGAAATGGAAACCCTCAAGCTTAAAAAAGCATGGGAGGTCGCCCTCGGTCCCGTCAAAGCACTTCCTATGACCGTCATCATGATGTACATGTCCGGCAACTCGCTCCAAATTTTCAGCATCATGATGGTCTTTATGGCATTCAAGAACCCCATCGCAGGCCTGATGGCTACCAACCAGGCCTTTGAACGATTCAATACCGAGAAAAACGCCGCTCAGATATTGCAAACGAAGTTGGTGTATGTGGCGATGCAGCTTGTTGCGCTGGGAGTGGGTATCTGGAAGGTGAACTCAATGGGGCTGTTGCCGTAAGTACCTGCCGTAGCGTTTGGATGCCTCGCTGGATTTATACTGGGGCTGTAGAAGGACATTTTAGGCTAACGTGGTCATTCTGGCAGGACGACGAGATCAGATTGGTTAATGTGGGAGTCATTGAGGGAATCTGTGGACAAGGCTATCACTGCATTGTAGCGGTTTCGGTATGTACTATCACCAACGAGATGAAACCCGTGTCAAAAGCGGAACAAAAAGAAAAAAGGAAAACAAAAGACGGACAATATATTTGAATAAATGTCCTCGCTCCCGCTATGCTAAGTCTCTGTGGTATGGTATCTTCTACATTCCCCGCCTGCATGTTGAGACGGAAATTGTCATTATCATCAAGTCATCAATTGGTTGCTTAAAATGCTCGGCCACAGCGTCACCTGCCTTTCCAGTCTCGCATCGTCTTGGCAAGAGTCTAGTTATCTTGCTTGTCTGCCTTTTGCCTTGCCCTCTCTGCCCTCCAGCGAGGACCACGCTTCTCCAGAACGCGCAACCCAGGTAGGCATGCGACCATCAGCAAAGCCAACAAGGTGAATGTCCAGCCGCGGCCCATGGCATCAAACATTTGGTCCACGATGGCGGTGGCGGCAGCGCCAGAAAGACATCGGGTCAGATTGTTGGCTGCGGCGGCCGTGGCCGGTGCGTCCTCGTTGAGGTCGACCAGCAGCGTGTTGAGGACACCAAACGACGACGGCACCAGCATGCCAACAATGAAGAGCAGGACCAGCGGCACAGCCACGGTTGTCTCGGCCTCCAGCGACCACCCCCATCCGATAAGGGCAGCCGCTCCAACGGTAATGGCAGGATACAGGGGCTGTATGCGAGCAGACTCAATGGGGAAACTGAGCATGTCCTCTCCCCTCTTGCGGCTCGTCGCCATGCCCAACTTCTTGGCGATGCGGGCAAAGTTTCGGTCGAGAATGTGCCCCTGCAGCAGCATGACCATGCAGCAGCCCACGCCATAGGGGAGGTAGCAGAGGCCTACCTCGAGGTCGTCGTACTCGTAGATTTCCTTGAAGAGAATGGAGAGCGTGGCACCAATGAGGATGAAGTTGACGTACATGATGGCGGATATGAAGAGGATGAGCCCCTCTTCCTTTTGGAAGACGATGGACAGAGTGCGCAGGGGATTCGGCACGCGAATCTTGACCTTGGGCGCCGACGCTGGCCTCTGGTTGACGCCGCCCGGCCGCAGGAGATCAATCACCGTCATGTTCCATTTTGGCGGCGGCACAGAGCCGTTGCCGACAACATTGCGACACGTTTCCGGCACAGACAAGACCCATGGGATGAGCCACACGAAGACGAAGATGGCACAGAACCAGAAGATGGAGGGCCATCCAAGCTCATGGCTTAGAACGCCGCCCAGGACTGGCCCGACGGCAGGGCCAAAGTTGACGCCCGCGCCGACAAGTCCCATGTAGCGGCCGCGTTCTTCGCTGGAAGCAATGTCAGCAACAACGGCATACGCCAGGGCGAGGGTGCCGCTGCTGCCGGCTGATTGCAGGCAGCGCAGGACCAAGAGAGCAGTGTAGTCGCGCTGCAAGGCCAGTCCGATGTTGGCAAACAAGTAAATGGTAAAGGCCAGCGTGAATGCTGGACGGCGACCTGCTGTATCGCCAAAGTCGCCAAAGATGGTGGGCGCCAACCCCTGGAAGATCATGTAAGTGGTCAAGGTGAGGTTGATCAAGGCGATTGACACGTTGAGGTCGTCGGCAACGGAGTCCAGCGCAGGGAAATAGACGTTGGCCGTCATTGGCGAGATGACACTGGCAATGGTGACCATGGTAGTAATCCATATCTTGGTCCGGCGTGTGAAGGCACTGTACGGCGCGCTGGCAACGCGAGACACAGCCTCGACATCGTGGGAACCCGTGAGGACCTGGCTGGCCGGGACGGTTGCCATCTTTTCGAGAACGGCGGTGGGCACACGGTGCAGGTCAGGTTGGTGAACGACTTGGGGTGGCGGTGGTGACGATGGTGTTGACAGGGTTGATACAGCCCGTGATACCGGCTCTGCCCTCAAGCTTGGCTCTGCCGCCGGCGCCGCGTCCACCGGGTCCGTGGCGGCGACGGCCCTCTGGCAATCCGGGTCGGACACGGGAACATTGGGTTCCCTCTCATCTTTCATTGCCACAGACGAGAGCAATGGACGACAACCCCATCACCCGTGTTATGCATGCACTGGAGAGAAGAGGCTTGAGGACGGGAGGAGAGGGACAGGCAAGGTATTAAAAATAAACCAGAGTTGGAGCCAGTTTCGGGCCCGGCGCCATATCGGCAGCACCAGCTGTGGGGAGAGATTGTCTGTGTTGTCTGGTGGTTTGACTCAGGCCCGGCCACTTGGTAATATGGGGACATGGACGTCCAAGTGGATGACATGTCCGGTGGTAAAGTCCGTGTCGTCTTGCATTTCCGACGTTGGGTTTGTTTTATGTACATACAGACGTAAGTTTGATTAGCGTCAAAGTCAACGTCCCGTCTCGTCTCGTCTGGCCTGGCGTCTTCATCCTAGCTTTGCCAGAGCGGCTGCCAGCAAGAACATTGAACCGAGCGTGAAGCGTCGAATGACGACTTGCGAGTAGTGCTCGGTCGACTTCCGTTGATTTTTGGCGCTTGCCAACAGACAGTCTGGACAAGTCCTTTTTTCCCGCCCTGGTGGCGCACGGCCAGGTTCCGAGCATCAAAAGGGTCTGGTACTCGGTACTTGTGAGGCAGCCAAGGACCGGGACGGCGAACTTGTCTCAGTATTTAGGCGATGGAGTGGGAGAGATGGAAAAAAAAGAGCGTACGGAGTACTGAACCCACTCAAGCACCTGCGAGTAGCCATATTGCGAGCAATTTGATGCGGCCAGACAACAGCACCAACGTCCACAGTGATAACCTTGCCTCCAGGTGTTGGGGGGCTTCTGTCGCCTGCATGCCTCTAGAACGAATCCAGCCAATGACTCGACGGGAACCAGATTGATACTCGAAGCTAGGGCTAAATTAAGCATGCCATGAACTCTTTCCGACCACCCACCCGTTGCCGATCGCAGCTTCAGTTCGTTCGAGATTGGAATGAAATTTATGCCGAGTGGATGGAACAACTACCGCCGCCGGTGTGACGGAGTCTCATTGATGCCACTCTGAGTTTTTTTTTTTTTTTTCTTGTCCCTCCCTTCCAACTTGTCAAGCAAGGTCTATACGAAGTATGTACACCTCACATGAATGTCAGAGCCGCATCTGGCGGGGAATCGGGCTCAAGGCTCAAGGCTACGCGTAATTACAACTTGCACTTGGGTCGATACACTGTGTAATGACTAAGCAGCATTCGGAGAGCTCCCACCTTACACCTTACGTAGCCAATCTCATCCCACCCGACTGCTATCGCGACAGCACCACAAGCCACGCAGTTGCGCTACATACAAAGGAGCTACCCGGCATTATTGTGCCGGTCAACCATGGCTTTCTCGGCGGCATCCCATCTCCCGTCCACAGATCTGACCGACGACTTCAATCATGCACTGCAAAAGCACAACGCCGCACCTACATCAGGCAAAGCTGCTCTCGACGTCGACGTACTCGAAGGCTTTGTCAAAGAGGCATATCGCATAGTCAGTCCGCCCTTGCGAGTAAATTCCCATCACCCCAATTGCTAATCCCAATGTGTTGGCTACAGAACTCGCACATTACCAGCTTGCACAAGGAACTCAGGGATGTCCGACAGGCATACCTGTCGACAGCCCAGCCGCGGAGGACACCTGGCCGCACGGCTCATGGCCCGCCGCAGGTTTTGACCGATCGCGAGCGGGAAGACGTCGACGTCAATGCGAAGCAAATGATTAGAGAGCTCAACGCGAGCATCCGTGGCCTGGAAGACGCCGAGCAGCTTCGCCGAGAGACGGAATCAGCCCTCATTCGGAAAAAGTATGCGAGCGGCTTCAGTGCCTTGAGTTCCTGGGCCTCGGGCGGCAGCATCGCAAGCAGGTCGCCAGAACACGCAGCGGCGGAAGCCCAGGCCCAACAAACAGACATTCACCGGGATGGCATACTGTGGTACTTGCGACAGAGGTTGGAGCTGTGCTGTCGCACGCAGCAGGACATGATGGAGACGAGGTTGACGAGAGAAGTGGAAAAGTCTCGCGGCATGCTATCCCCTCCGGTCGGAGATTTTGCGCCCTTTCCGCCCGTGTCGAAACAGGCGTTTATGGCGGCCGCCATTTCTGAAGACCCGGCCTTGGCAGGCGAGACGGCCACTCAGGCGTCTGCATTCACCCAGGGCCTGACCGAGGAGCAGTTGCAAATGTTTGAGGAAGGCAATCAGGACATGATGCAGCATTACGAAAGCACGTTGGACAAGGTCAGGTATGTGCCGTCACCCACAATTCTTTTCAGTAGGGTGTCTCTCCGTGTCTTGTTTTGTTAACGCAGTGTGGCAGAACTGCAGAAAAGTCGCTGGTCGAGATTTCCGAGCTCCAGTCCCTTCTGGTCAACAATCTAGAGATCCAATCCGAGCACATTGAGCAGCTTGTCACGAACTCTTTATCAACCGCGGATAACATTGGCGGAGGTAACAAGCAGCTTGAGAAGGCTACGAAACGGCCCAGCACGGCACGCTATACCTTCTTTGCGGCCAGCGGGTTGTGTGCTTTCTTGGTGCTGTGGGATCTCATTATATGAAGGAAGGGCTGGGCTTGCCGACCGAATCTAGCAACGGAATCTCGCTGGGACTTGGAGATGAGGGTGACTGCGAGCCGAGCATGTTGATTAAAAGAGAAGCCATCTCGGTTAAGAAGTAGTGTGGACTATAATACAGAGTCGCTACGGTGTCGGGCGGGGAACATGTGAAGGAAGAGACGGGCCCCTTTGTCGAGTTATGTATTGCTCCTTGCATGTGTGGGGGACTTTCAGATGGTTGATGAGCCACCCCCAGATTTTTTCCAACCCCAGATGCAGACTCGCAGACTCGGGGACGTCGATCCACTCCCCATGAAAAAGTTCAAGGTCATGGGGACAGTAGTATCTGCAAGTTCCAGATATCTATGTAGGTTAAATACGAAGCTAGTGCACAGTGGCTTTTGCCTGCCTTTGCAGTGGGACGTTCATAAGTTTCGGGGGGCCGTTGCCACCCGTTCATCTCGGAAAGGGGCCGCGGGGACCTAACCTGGGAGAGCGCGCTCCGTGGGCAGCGAAGCAGAAAGGTACATGTATCAATTGGTCATTACTTAGAGACAATGGTCAGGAGACCGGAGAAGGGGTGCCAGGCCATGGCGGGCGAAGCCGGGGAAGTGTGGGTATACCAAGACGAGAGATAAGTCATAAAATTGAATGGACGGCTCGAAGAAGAAGGACACACCGTGCCAGAATAGACGATGTTGCGCAGTGCCCGCAGGCAAGCCACGGCAAATTCATGAATGACCTTAGGAACTTGAGGCGGGCTGCATTACGCATTAGCAAGACGAATTCAGATGGTGCATTATTACTATTATTAGTACAGGCATTATTATTCTACATGCCAAGAAGGAATCGCATAAACTTGTAGTTGTGCATTTTGTGTTTTGCAGGATGCTCCGCGTTCCGTGCCACTCACTGTGCTTGCCATGGCAAAGTGGCACATGTCAGTCAACTGCGCTCCGGGACCCCGTCCCCCACGGCAGCGGCAAGCGGCAGCGGCAGCGACCAGACCTGTTTGCTGCTGGCCCTTGGAGCAGACATGGAGTCAAGTCCGACTGTCGAGGCATCATCTGGGCCCGACACCCGCCCCGGCCACACAGGCCACATCAACGAGCACTTGCGAGCCCGTGAGAGCCGAAGGGCCTCGGCCAAAACGACGCCCATGCCACGCACAGAAGCGCTGGGGACTCGGCATCTTTGCCCACCTGCGGGCCATAAAAGCGCATTCGACCCCCGCGCGCGATGGCGCCGCCCGCCGCTTTCGGGACCAGTTGACCTTGAGAGTCGAGACGTCGACGCCGCGATCCTGAAGATTGACTCAACCTGTACGTTCCATGTCCATGTCTGCCACTGGCCCCTCCGACGGCTGCCGAGCGCTGCATCTGCGCGTTTGCGTCTGCCGCCGCCCTCCAAGAGCCAGCCACTGGTCCTTCTTGTGCGACAAATGGACGAGGGCGGCTGCAATGACACCCCTGTGCATTTGAACGCTGAACATTGACACTTCACACTTAACACTTGCCGCGCTGCGTGATCGCTCGAGCTCTGGCTAACCTCCAACAGCCCGCCGCTGCATCCTCTTGCGTGTCTCAACTAGACCCTGACTGACCCTTGCTCTACGGGGTGAAGACCAGAAGCGGCCGTCTTTGTCCTGCGACTGCGACTGCGGAAGCTGGAACATTGAAGAACCGCAGACTACGGACAACGGAGGAGAATTGGCCTGTCGCCAAGTCCCCGTCACCCGTCGCCAGTCGCCAGTCACCATCAGCCCATTAGTTATTATAGTCACCCCACTATCCTCGCCATCATGGCTCCTCCATCCTCATCCTCATCGTCGTCCTCTGCCTCTCCGTCTGCCTCGCCTTCTTCATCGTCCTCGCTCGCGAGAATAAACAACATTGCAAACCACATCTCGCCCGCCATGGCCTCTGCAACTAGCTTCCCCGCCGACACCGTGCCGCAGGCCCCCGAGGATCCTCTCTTTGGCCTCGCACGCGCTTACAAGGCTGACCAGAGCTCCCTCAAGGTCGACTTGGTACGTGCCACGAGACAGGGACGGTGCAGTAGCACCGGCTTTCGAGCTTCAAATTGCTTTTCTACTTGGCTTGGCAACGCTCCTGCTGTGCAATGCTAACGCTGTGCGAATAGGGAATTGGCGCTTACCGCGACGACAATGCGAAGCCCTGGGTTCTCCCCGTAGTCAAAAAGGTACGTGACCAAGCTGCCTTTGCCCTTTGCCCGGTGCATGGTGCCTGGTGCCTGATGTGCCTGATGCTCCGTCAGCCATGGCCACTGGTCGTGACGAAGCCATCATGACCCCCCCATGCCAACACCAATGGCCGCCCCAGTCCGCTCCAGAGCTCCCCGCATGCGTCACCACCAGAACCGTGTCTCATGGCTAACACCCGCCGCTCTGCCAGGCTGATGAAATTCTCCGAAACAACCCCGAGTTGAACCACGAATATGCCCCGATTGCCGGCATTGCCGACTTCACCTCCAAGGCTGCCGAGTTGATTCTCGGTGCCGACTCGCCCGCCCTCCAAGAGAAACGGGCCACTTCAATCCAGACCATCTCCGGCACCGGCGCCGTCCATCTTGGTGCCCTCTTCCTCGCCAAGTTCTACAAGGGCAACAGGACCGTCTACCTGTCCAACCCGACCTGGGCTAACCACAAGCAAATCTTTGGAAACGTTGGCCTCCAGGTTGCCGACTACCCTTACTTCTCCAAGAAGACCAATGGCCTGGACTTTGAGGGCATGAAGGCTGCCATCCAGGCTGCTCCCGACCGTTCCGTTATCCTGTTGCACCCTTGCGCCCATAACCCGACCGGTGTCGACCCTACCCTCGACCAGTGGAAGGAGCTGGCTGTCATTATCGCTCAGAAGAAGCATTTCCCCTTCTTCGACTGTGCCTACCAGGGCTTCGCTTCTGGCAACCTCGCCCAGGATGCCGCCGCCATCCGCTACTTTGTTGAGCAAGGATTCGAGACCGTCGTTTGCCAGAGTTTCGCCAAGAACTTTGGCCTCTATGGCGAGCGAGCTGGATGCTTCCACTTCGTGACCAGCCCCGGACCTGACGCCAGCACCACCATCTCCCGCATTGGGTCCCAGTTGGCCATTCTCCAGAGATCCGAAATCTCCAACCCTCCCCTGTATGGCGCCCGTATTGCTGCGACCGTCCTCAACGACCCCAAGCTCTTTGCTGAGTGGGAGGACAACTTGAAGACCATGTCCGGCCGCATCATCACCATGCGCAACGAGCTGCGCTCAAGACTCGAGAAACTCGGCACCCCTGGAACGTGGAACCACATCACCGACCAGATTGGCATGTTCAGCTTCACTGGTCTGTCAGAGGCCCAGGTTCTCAAACTCCGCGAGGACTACCACATCTACATGACTAAGAACGGTCGTATCTCCATGGCCGGCTTGAATTCGAAAAACATTGACCACGTGGCTAGTGCAATTGACAAGGTTGTGAGAGAGGTGCAGTAAAAAAAAGTACGAGATGAAATCACATGGATGAAGGAAAAGGAGGAAGCCATGATTTTTGTGTTTACATGTAGCACGTTTCATTTGTACAAGGGGCCAAGAGCTGGAACACCCGGTCTGTGTACTAGAAATATAGAGGTTTGAATAACGCACTAGATAGTAGTGATGAAGGTTTCGCGGCAAAGACAATAATGGTTTATGTGATGTGACGGAACATGGTGTAGCTCGATTTGAAAAAAAGAACCACTCAACTCACGTACCTTGCCTACCCTTGACAAGTCATGAAAACCTCACCCCACGCCACTTCACTCAACACATTAACAACAACTTTTAAACAAAACACCATCAGCCGCAAATCACCATAGCCACCATGCCCGACGATGCCGCGCAATCTCCCCTGGAAAACGGAACCCCAGGGCTCGCCGCCAACCACGACGCCCAAGAAGCAAAGCCCTCGTCCTGAACCCTCCACGTCCACGCCAGACGCTTCCACCCGTCCGCTCGTTTCGCGTCGTCGCTCCCTGGAACACGGTAGCACCTACCTCCCGCCACCCGAAAACCCTCGACGTGCAAAAGAGCTAACCAGGAACACACAGGTGCCAGTAGGATACGTAGTCCGTCTACATCGCCGCCTCCAGAGCCGCCAGCCCAGCAGTAAGTAAAAGAGAAATAAATTTCCAGTAATACGCCCGCACCCCCGCGTCTCACCCGCTCACTCATCATCCCCCCGGGGGGAAAAGGTTCATGATTGCCGGCCCAGCAGGGGACGACAGGTACCGCATGGTGGAGGACGAGCTGCTCGCCACGGCGGGCCTGTTCACCGCGCACCTCCACCGCGCCGAGTACACACGCCTCAAGCGCAGAACGCCGCGGCGATCCGGGAGATGGAGCGGCCGGTGGTGCCTGGGCCGGCGACGGCGACGGCCACGAGGCGAAGGGGGCGTGCTGCGCGGACGGCGGCGCGGCGAGGGCTGGTGCGCGGCGAGGGGACCCGGGGGGGAAGCAGCCTGCAGGGCTTGATGGAGACGCCGCGCGGGCAGGGTGCGCGCTTGACGGGCGTCGGGTTGGGCGCGGCGGTGCGGCCGCGACAGGCTGTCGTTTCTGCTCGTCTGCCGGAGGAGGTTGGGGGCAGGGGGGATGGCGAGGCGTCGTCTTTTGCTGGGGCGGTGGATGATGGCGATGGCGATGGCGATGGCGATGACGATGATGATCCTTTTGGCGTCAGGCAGAGGCGGGTGAGGCGGGAGAAGTCGAGGGAGCAGATGGTCAGGAGGACGGGTGAGCGGGAGACGCGGTCGCCCAAGAGGCCGGAGCGGGATACGATACCTGGCTTCTTTTGAGATGGGGCGGCAGAGCTTACAGAGTCACGGTTATGAATGCGGGTTGCGAGAAATACACGACTTGGAATGCCTAGATATGGGGACATGAACGCCCAGCAGAAAACGCCAACGTTGATTTTTTAATTCACTATTTTTCTCTTTTACCCTCCAGCCACTGCCATCAAGAGTCCTGCATTGTGAGCTCGTCAAAGTCGTCTAGCAACTCGTCCATATTGACCTGTGGAGTACCGTCATCCTCGTCCTCCTCTGTTTCCGCAACACTCATCTCCTCCTCTGCTCTCTTCTTCTCGTTCTTGTAAAGAGCCATGGCAGCACGCAGCTCCTCGTCCTCTTCCACATCCCGCAAGAACTGCTCATACTCGCGATCCATGCGATCTTGATCTGCCTTCTTGGGCAGGAGCTCGCCCTCGTCCTTGCCCATACGCCTGAGCTTCCAGTTGCGGCGGCGGTTCTTCCGGCGACGCGGGTAGTGCTTCTTGACTAGCACCACGTCAGGGATGGTGGACGAGTACGTGTTGGACTCTTCGATGGCCTCGTACTCGGGGTTGTTGAACATGGTGCCTGTCAGGAGGTACCCCATGGCGGAGTCGCCGGGTTGGAGAAAGTTGCCCAGGTGTGTTCTCGTAAAGTACGTCTTGTCGTTGACGCCGAGGTCCGATGCTCTGGCGACGGTGGCTTCGGAGAGGACCCATTTTCCTCTTCGGGTGTTGGTGAGCTCAATGTCCATAATGATGAATTCCACTAATTCATGAGCATCGGCAAGCGATCTGAAGGGGGCGCGCCAGTATATCGGCGAGGCAATATCGGCGGTCTGGAGGGTCTGGGGGTCCATCAGATAGACCGAGGTTCCAATCTTGTGGCACAGGACGAGGGGCGAGATGTTGCCGGATTGCTTGGCGAGCCTGATGGGCATGGCAACCAAGTCATCTCTGCAAATGGGCACAATCTCTGCGGAATAAGAAAACTTGTACGACTTTTTGGAGGTGTGGACATCCTGAGAAATGAGCTCCTGGGATGCCTTGACCGTGACGGGTACAACCGAGTTCAGAAAGTCGATAAACTTTTCAGCCTGGTTCTTTTGCGAGAAGAAGAAATCGATACCGTCCTTGGCCTCCTTGATATTGAGCGTATCTCTGTGGGCGTTGTGTTTCATAATGAGTTGTTCCAGAAACAAAAACGTTCTCTTGTGCAAGACCTTTTGTCGCACCTGCACACACGCCCTCCAGACGTTGGCCGTATATGACTTGGCGCACTCAGGGCACTGCTGAGTCGCCACCACGTACACAACCTCAAAACTCTGCTGGAGCAAGACGCCATCCTGAACGGCATCCTGGATCGTCAGCTTGACCTTTATTCTTCGAGAGTGTGGCTCCGTCCAGACAAAGCTTGCGTCAACGATGCGGACTTTGTGGAGACCTCGTAGTTTCTTGAGACACAGGGCCAGCAGCTCGCGGGATTCGGGCATGGCCACAATCCAACTGTTCGGTGGGAGCAGCCATCGATCGCAGTCCCGGCAGAAGTTGAGCGTCGCTTCGCGCTGGATGCCTTGGGAGATGTCGACGGTGAGTTTGACGCAGTTGAAACAGAGGGCGCCGGTGGCAGTCGTTCCGTCAATAGGGGCGCCGCAGTTGCAGCAGAGAATACTTGGCACAGTTGTCAAGTTAGTCATTCGTCTCGAGAGGCGATTTTCGCCCACAGAACCGACAAAAAAAAGAAGAGCGAAAAAAAGGGCATGTAAAGGCGGCGGAACTTACGTCGCAGCTGTCTGCTGTGTCGCCGGCCCAAGAGGGACCGGAGCGTCATCAAGATCCATCGACATCTTGAATGGCCAAGGTTAGACGCCGGATGAAGATGAGGATTTGGCTGAAGTGAGATTGACGCCGAGTTTAGGTAGACTGGGACCAGCAGCCGACGACTTGGCTTGGTGGTGACTCGCGGGGGTCAAGAAAATTATTTGCCCCGCTGCTTGATAAGCGTCTGAAGAATCTTATCGACGGCGGGGGCGAGAAACCACGATTAGACGGCGGACGGGAAGCCTGTGTGTGGGCCAATGGCGGTCAACCGAAATCGAGACTGGCGAGACAAACCGACAGGACATTCACGCGGATCAAACCAAAGACTGAATTGAAAGTACCTTGTGAATTGAGGCAACTATCAAATACATGTCGGAACAGCGCTCGTACATTTCATCACCGTGCGTGCTCCTTTCATCTACGAAGCAAGTAATTTGCAAGTATCAAATATCAGATCCTGCCAGTCAATACAACGCTATGCGAATACATCCAAGATAAAACCCATGGCAACAAATCCCTCAGAAAATCTTGCTCAAGACTCTCGTGACGCTCTCTGGCTGATCCTGTGCCATCTTATCATCCCTTTTCACCTGTTTTACCTGTTTAAACGACCGCTCACCCTGTCGTACAGGCTCATCCTCCGCGTCGGCAGCCTTCCTCTTCTTCGCCTTGGCCTGCATACCATCCAACATCTTGGCTCTCTCCACGTTCCTAACAAATTCCTTGTTCTCTTTGGTCGACTTGCTAATCTCAGCTCTCATGCGGCTTGTCCTCTCTGCGTTCTCGGTAGTGATTTGTTCCGTCAAATTATGCCACTTGAAACCTTTCAGATAGACCAAGTTCCAGATGTCGTCGCGGAAAAAAGATCCCTTCTTGCCGCCAACATTGTGTCCGTTTAATAATTCGCATGCAGCCTTTGCTTCCTTCTTCTTAACGAACTCGACCCATCCCTCGGTGAACAGCACCCTCTTGTTGCCACCGGCACGCTTTCGTCTGGCGCGGACAGTGGGATCCTCGGGAGCAAGGAATATCCGATTTAGCCTCCCATATGGCGACAGGAGAGATCGTAGGGCAGAGGGCTTCATCCCTGGCGGTATGCGGGACATGTATACCACGCCAGATTTCTTAATGGCTTCTTCAGAAGCGACGAGGTTCTTTTTTGTCAAGGGCTTGGTGATGTCGGGAAGGCCCGTCTCTAGTTTGGGTAATTCTTTTCGAGATGTTGATTTAGACTTCTTGACCTGTTTTGAGGAATCGTCTTCCTGTCCATCCTGGTCGATTGAACCTTGGTCATCGCTGGCACTTCGGTCGACGTCGCTACCAGCATCTTCATCATCACTGTCAACCCGGCGCCGTTTTGCACTGCGACGGCCTTTTGTTATTTCATCGTCGGAGTTGTAGTCGTCAATTTGGTCATCGTCGCTTTCGGGGGCATCCAGAAACTCGTTTCTCTTTTCTGGGGCCATTCTGGCTGTGGTTGTGCTGGCAGGACGAACTTGTCGTTGCAAGCTGTTTGGGAATGTCAATCGACCAGAAAAAAAGTTGCCGTCGAAAGAGCGATAACGATAAGAGGCTGCACATAGTGTAGGTGGGGCGTTGCCATTGGCTGGACATGGAATACTAACCTAGCGAGTGCACTGGCCTTGGGTGTCAACTGCTCACATCAATGTGCAGGTGGTGAGCGCCGCTGTCGTCTTTCTTTCCAGAATCGCTAAAAGTCAACATCATGGCAGTGGCTTGACCCCGCCATGGGACAACATTGAAGAATCAACGGTCCGCGCCTTGAAGAGTGAATGTCTACCGCATGTGTGGCGTGGACGGGACAGCTCTGGCGCGCTTACACCTCATACGCTGTAGTTTCCCCGTTCATGATTATCTGCGCTGCTTGACAGGAGACAAGATGCCGCACCTCAAGTCTTTGCCGCGGCGGGGCATCTGGCTTCTCACTGATGGAGCCGAATTCGGTGCGCGCGTCCCTGCCGCCCCTACGGCCCCTACGCGGCTATCAGACGCTGCTCATGCAATCATCACGGCGGCTAGGTGCCCTGATTGAAGCTCCTCCATTTGATGCCTCCATGTGTCGTGGGGTGACGTGGGGCTCTTGAATTGTTAACTGGTGTGCAAGTGCAAGTGCAGGTGAGGTCATGGTTGAGCTTATTTGCCCACTTTATCTACGTCGACATCTCCTCACCCTCGAGAGCCATCCACGACCTCGAACCAACTACAACCTCTTGGGCGACGGCTCTCTGGAACAAGCAGAAAATTTGCTCCAACTCAGCTAGCCAACACAAACCGCCAAAATGTCCGTCGAAGTAATCAACACCGTCTCCCCCAATACCAACGAGATTATCTTATCTCGAAATGGAGTCTCCGCCGCAGAACTTGACCTGATGCCCAAGGTCGCCACCGAGGCGTTTCAGAGCTTCCGCAAGACTACCCTCAAGGAGCGACAAGAAATTGTCAAGAAATTCCTAAAGGAGCTTTCCAGCCACGAGGCTGAGCTTGCAGAGGAATTGACCGTCCAAATGGGTCGTCCCATTGCCTTCACTGGCAAGGAAATTACAACGGCTATCAAGCGCGCCGAATACCTGCTTAAAATTAGCGACGAGGCCCTCAAGGACACGGAAGGCGAACCAGAAAGGGGCTTCACGCGCTTCATTCGCAAGTTGCCTGTCGGACCCGTGCTCATAATCTTTGCCTGGAATGTAGGTGCTTCAGAGCTTGCCGCAGAATCTGCTGTCGTAGAATTTGGCAAACGCTAACGCTAATGGTGTCTCAGTATCCCTACCTTATTCTCATGAACTCCATCATCCCCGCAATCTTGGCTGGAAATACGGTAATTCTCAAGCCATCTCCCCAAACTCCCACCATCGTGGAGCACGTCGCTCAATTCTTTGCGGCTGCTGGGCTGCCAGAGGGGGTCCTTCAATACTTCCACTGCGGTTCGCCGAGTGCCATGGAATCACTGATCCGGGACCCAAGAATTGCCCACGTGTGCTTCACTGGCTCTGTGGCCGGCGGCCTGGCTGTTCAAAAGGCTGCCTCTGACCGTATTGTGAATGTTGGGCTGGAACTGGGTGGCAAGGACCCTGCCTACATCCGAGACGACGTAGATGTTGCCTGGGCTGCTGAGGAGATTGTCGATGGAGCTGTCTTTAACTCCGGCCAGAGCTGCTGCTCGCTTGAGAGAGTTTACGTTGACGAAAAAATTCACGATGCCTTCGTCGAGAGCGTGCAAAAGGTGCTTCGAGGTTACAAGTTGGGCGATCCATTTGACAAGACAACTCACGTTGGTCCTGTCATTTCCAGGCGTTCCAAAGAGGCAATTGAGTCACACATTAAGGACGCCTTAGACAAAGGCGCCAAGGATGCTACGCCAGACAACGAGAGCTTCAATAACCCGCCACCTAAAGGCAACTTTGTGAAACCTACGTTGCTGACTGGGGTGGACCACACAATGACGGTCATGACTGAGGAGACATTTGGCCCAGTAATTCCGGTGATGAAGGTCAAGAGCGATAGCGAGGCCATCAAGCTTATGAACGATAGTGAATTCGGCCTCACTGCTAGCATCTGGACCAAAGACACGGAAAAGGGATACGAGTTGGCAGAAGATGTGGAGGCGGGTACTGTGTTTGTGAACCGTTGTGATTACCCCAGTCCTGTGAGTAAATCCCTGGCACCAAAGCGCGGTGTTGGCAAAAGAGTGAATCTGCATCTGGATTCCCTTGTTTTAGTTGCTGACTGAAGACACTAGGATCTCGCCTGGACAGGGTTCAAGAACTCTGGCAAGGGCCAAACATTGGGACGATTCGGTTTTGAGCAATTTGTCAAATCCAAGAGCTTCCACATGAAGAAATATCCGCAATAAGCAGCTTCCACCGTGCCGGTGCGTCGGTGGATTGGCTGGTGCGACTTGAGGCTGACCTCCCTTGCTCTACTCGGCGGCCTTTGCGTGCAAAACATGGCGTCTGTCGGAGCGACTGAGCTGTTTTGGGCACCGAGGCCGGATGGTAACTAACGCCAGGAAGCATTGGAAGACGGCCTTTTAGAGCATGGACTCACTCGGAAGAGAGCCAGGCACCAGGTCGGGGAAGGAGGAAGAGCGAGAGATGGGGGCGTGTTAAATTGGGCTTCGATCAGGCGATTAGCGAGATCTCCCTTGAAGTAGCGACTGGTGGGGAGACCCCTGTCGGTGGTAGTATTGGTAACTATTGTTCCTGATTGCTGAATGCTGGGGTGCATGGTGCGGTAGATGACTAGACTCTCGGAATATGGGACCCGACCCGCGCAGGGACCAGAGCTACGAGTCCTCGCAAAGGAGTTTCGGAAATTGACAACGAACTTGTAAAACATGAATGCTTGGAGCACGGCAACAGTCAATGAGAATCTCTCTGCGTTCAGCTGTCTCTGCTCAGACGAGCGGCGAGGCCAGTGTCGTATGATGATGTGGTTGACGGCTGAGAAGTCACTGGCGTGCCCTGCATTCACCACCAAAAACTTCAGACACGGTCAATCTCGTCAATCTCATACAGCCGAGAGACGGTACGGAGTACGGAGTATTGGGCGCCGATATTGGTCAGAATGGCCATTTTCCCGCAGAAATGGCGGCACCAATACGCTTGGCATGCTGTCAAAGCAAAGGGTCTCGGGGTCCTAACACAAACTCGTCGCCAAGCCGGGGCGGGATTTCGCTAGTTGATGTGCGCATGTAGATCACGGAAGTCTCGACGTGCCTGTGGACATCAGGACATTGTGGGCATTGTGCAAATTGAGTTTGGCAAGTCGCTGGAGGACTAGTAGTAGTATGTGGTGGTGGCAGTATCATTGGGTGTTTAACACTGTCCCACCTGTTGTATGATTATGGGACTTGATTCGAACTGTGACGTTGACTCGCTAAGGGAGTAAGACAGGCTCGCCACGCAAGGGAGGATGACGGAAACTGCTACTAGTGTTTTGGCTGTCAAAAAGTGGTGGAGGTGGATGTTCTGTTCAGATATTATCCGCGGCGGTGGTCACCAGACTGGAATATTGAATGGACTGGGGGTGAAGGGTTCACGGACGGACGCCATGGACGGAGGCAGAGGCGTGAATAGGCTGACCGAGGCTTGGGTCAACGTACGTGGTACTATTGACGCGGTGCCGACCGAGTACGGACGGGCCAGCGCATTACATCATCTACAGCTCAGCATGGAAAATGAAGCCGGCGGTGGCTTTGCGGGCGGCGGTGGCCGTCGATGCAGGCCATCTGCTGCCCTGCTGCCCTGCTGCTTGCAGTGTTGCCGAGGTGGATCATTCGATGCCAGACGCATCGCAACCGGGATGAAATTGCCAGCACGGTTGCCTTCCAGCTGAAAGCAGCGAACACCCGCCCCGACGGCCTGGAAAAAAAAAAAAAAGAAAAACTAAAAAAAAAACTCCACTGTCTGTGCCCATTGACAAATCGAGCCTTGGTCGGCGGTGGCTGCAAGAAAGATTTCAAGGAGGCCGAGGGAGTTGGCCTGGCAGTTAGCTAGGGAACATGCAGAGGAGACGCATATCTGCCCATTTTACCCGCGATGATGCCAGAGTCAAGTCTCGAGGGAGAAGCTGCCATGTCACGTCAAGACCCTTGCTTGCCCGTCTAGTAATTAGCCTGTGGATGCACAAATCCTCTGGTAGATTCTACAATACGTAAATTATTCAGCCTCATGTCGAGGGGAGGAAAATAAAAGACGAATTCCGTGCACCGACGCGGCCCCATGTGTTGGTTGGGCCACGAATGTTTTTTCATTGTTTCTCCCTGCGCACCTGTAATTAATCACGGTGGGCGTGAGCGGCATCGGAGAATACGAGGTACAGAAATGAACAAAGGCAGTTGAAGTGAAATAGGGCAAAATAAAATAAAATAAATCAAAATCAAAAAGCATTCCAGCTAGCCCCCGGTCCTTATCGAACAATACGAGGCGACACGGCCTTGACCAAGAGAATGATAACTGGTGGCATTCCAACAGCGTCAGCCACGCGGCCCGCTCCATTCAACTTCAACTTTTACCTTTCTTGGCCTCCAATATGTTTGCCCGTTCACGCTGCCTACTGGCTGGGCCAGCAAGAATTGTTGCAGCCATGTTCCCTGCTCGTTTTGTTTTGTTGTCGGCGTCTGCTTCACTTCATGGCTGCCGCGGCTCCGCCCAATTTCAGACCGTCGCTGGGGTTCCATCTCTTTCTCATCTCGGAGCGGAAGCCGACCCGACAACACTTTTTAGGTTTGACAATCAATAACGTCACCGGACAAAGACGCGTAGTACTCCGTATTGTATTATGTAAAAGAAGAACAAGCAAGCACAAGGTGGGAAAAAAGGAATAAGCAACAGGCATCGTGCCCCCCCATTGTTTTGGTTACGCGGGAAACAGGCTGCCCTGCCAATAATCCCACCAGCATGGTTCCGATTCCTTGTTTTGCAGAGCTTCCTGCAAGGCACGCGCCTGCCAATTTATGAAGATGGCTGCACGACCCCTTCTTTCCTGATTCAGCCCGACCAAGCCCAGCAGGGCCCAGCAGCCGTGGCACCACTGCCTCCGTTGTTCGACGTTTGGGAAGGAGACGAGGATGCATTCTTCGCTCGGGTTTGGCACCAATACAAGACCCTTGATGTTGTGTCACGCTAGATACATTAGATACGACGTACCACCACTAGGCACGTCAGGCACATCAGGTACACCACCACGCCTGACGGCACCGAGCCAAAAGCGACGCCATAGTTGGTACTTTAGACGACGACAACCTTTGGGTCCCTTTTTCTCGAGTCCAATCGTGAGCCATCGTGAGTTGATCCTTCCTGTCTTGTGGCCGGCCCCCAACGAGGCTGCGAGGCTCCGAAGCTCCGAAGCTCCAAGGCTTCAAGGCTTCAATATCCAAGACCCTCTCATGTCTTGGACTTTTGCTCGCCCTTTCGTCAGGAATTCGCCATTGGCTCCGCGCCATTGGGTCGGCACCCTCAGGTTTCTCTTACTCTCGGCCACCCCCGGGTGTCTCTGTTCCTGAACCTGGACTTCGAATCTCACACGCCTCTCAACCCCCCGGTCCCTCCAGTTCCTAAACGCCTGTCTTGGGGAAAACACCTTTCCGAGTCTTCTTGTGAATATGCTCCCTTAAGCACGCTTGCATCGCAAGACACTTCAGACCCGCCCCTTCGAAACACGCTGGCTAGACGATACGCAGAGCAAATCCCATCTTAAATATAACACCATCTGTCCCCTCCATCTCCATCTTCAACCTCATCACCTCCTCAACATCCTCTCTAGACCTCCATCCTCTTCCCACTTCGATAATTCCGCTTGACCGGCCTGTAGCCCAAGTCAGCGTGCCACTCTTTTGAACATCTACACCAAACAAACGAATATATTGCCTTTCTCGACTTCTCTCGCTTGTCGTTTCGTCTCGTCAATCATCACCCTAAGTTGAACATTGCTTTTTCACCTTCGACATTTTTATACTATTTTTAATTATTGAACGCCATTATTACATTCTGTCTTTATTTTCTTCTTCCTCTCGCTTCGACATTCTTCTAGATTGCTCTCGTCCCAGCCTCTCGGGTCACGAAAACGCCACATCAATCAACCTTGTCACATCTTATCAAGGGTCGATAATATAAAAGAAGGAGAAAATAACAAATAAAAGCACGTTTTGGAAGAACATAGACCATCATTTGGATTTTTGGCCCCCACGAGGCTGGACTCGATTATTCGAAATTCGACATCATTTCCTACTATTTACCATTACCCCATCTAATCTCGACATTTCTCACAAAAGCACACGGCCATCACGCTCCTGAATATTTGGTTTTTTGTTCGGGAAGATCGACCGGGGAGTGTTCATATGCACGTCAAGAACAATTTCGTCATGCTTTACACACGTTTTCAGAGCCTGCTTCGGGAACGAAGAAGAGCCCGACGGGACATTGAGATTGTATGTGCTTGGCCTCATGCTGCCAGAATAGTTTTATCCAGTGTATCGCTAACAATTTAGTCTGCTCCTTTTGACCTGAAGCTCGAACCCGCTACCCTCCCTGGCGTGTCTCAAGAAGAGTACGTAATCCATTCCTCTTATGAAACTGTTTGGAAGCTTTTAGACTAACAAGATGAAGGATCTCCATCCTCCGAGAGAAAGCAGCTGCCTCGCGCATCGGCGTCCTCGAACTCCGTCCCGAATCACCATCCGAGTACCACAAGAGGTCCCGCCCGTCTCCACGACTTCGTCCCGTGCAGCCTGCCACTATGGAGATCGAGACACGTCCCCTGTGGTATTAGGCGAATCGAGTAATTTAATTTGTGTCGACGACAACACGTGTACCATCATTTTCTTTTGTGTCGCGGCTGGTTCTCAGCAAGATTATGTCAATTGTGTTTGAATAAAGAAATGGAAAGCACTAGAAGACAGGATGGCGTAGAGAGGACACCTTGTGAATTGGAGAATATTATTAGAATTGGTTAAGTGAGGGAGGAAACGGTGTTCCCTGGAGTTAGAGTATTGTAGCATGGGTAATGTGCTTGGTTCTGGCAACGGGCAAATGAAAGGTTCCTTGTTCTCCTTTTTTCATCTCTACACTGTGGCTAACTGCGAGCTGAAATTTATCTGTTCTTTCTAATCTTTATCATGGATCTCTATCCATCCAGAGTAAACGTCTAGATTCTCACACCTCACGCCCTCCATCTCACCCTTTACATCCAACAAGCGAACCTTGGAGTCCTTCTCCCGACTCCATTCGGCAACCCTCTCTTCCACACGCCTCTTGGTCTCCTCATCATCCTTCATCAGCAGAGCGAGAGCGTCAAAGCCCCCCGCCCCGGGGACGACACCACCGTATACACCCTCAAGGGCACCCAACGCGTCCAACAACTCCGTCTGGGACTCGGGCTCAATGGGCACGTCGCTCAGCTTGCCCATCTCGCGAATCAACTCCCTGACCTTGCCCACGGCGGTGGGAATGTCAGCCACGTTTCCGTCTCTCAACTTGGCGGCCAGGTCCTCGTTTCGCGCCTGCAGCTCGTCCCACAACCTGGACGACACGTCGGCGTCTCTGCCTCTCCAGGCCAGCACCCTCTTGACCATGCCCACCGTCTGGCTCCCACAGTCGACGTCACACATGCGCAGGGCCAGGCCCTTGGGCAGGCGCAGCCCCTCGGTCAGCACCTCGACGTCCCAAGCCACGCCGTCCACCACCGACACCAGCTTCTCAGCGAAGCCAGGCGATCCCGCCTCGGGCAGCTGGCCCAGCACACCGGGCGAGAATCTCCTGTACAGACACGACCCGTACACGGCGGCCGCAACGTCAAACCCCGATCCGACCTTGCCCTGGGCCGCGCAGTGCGCCGCCTGCGCGAGATTGTGCAGCCGGCGCTTGCCCGGCGCCGACGTGATGTCCAGCAGCCTCCACGGGAGGTAGTGGCTCAGCAGCGCGGCCGTGAGGGCCGTGACCAGCGCGGCGGACGACCCCAGCCCGGTCTTGTTGGCGCCGCCCAGCGGCACCGTGAACTTGGCGAAGCGCCCCGGCTCGCCGCTCCTCGGCGTAGCCTGAGAATAGTAGTCATTGTCAGCTAGCACGATGAGCCGAGCCGGCCTGAGGCTGTGGTCCGAAGAAACCCGGCTCATGAGGCGGTGGATGTACGTGAACACGTAGCTCAGCGTCGTCTCCACAAACGGATTCTTGCAAATGACAGAGCCCCTATGTATTGAAACAAGTCAGCATGGATCCCGACTCTCATCTCATGCTTCTCCTCGCCCGTTTGGTAAATGCCACTCACACTTGCAACTGCGTGACCTGGATGCCTCCCCCCTCCGGCGCCAAATGGTACCCGTATCGCCACTGCGCGTCCGGGAACTGCGGGCTGTCCACCATGATCTCGTTCAGCTGGACCCCCTGGCTCGTGTGAATCTCCCCCGCGACGACGTTGATTCGGGCGCTGAGGCCGAACACCAGACCCGTGTGCCTCCTGTCGAGCACGAGGTAGCCTCCCGCGAGGAGGACCTTGCCGGGCGCCGAGACGGCCACGGTGGGATTCTTGCTTGCCATGGTTCGTTCCCTCTTGGTTGTTTTCTTTTTCGGCGTCCGGCTTGATGGGGGAGGGGTCAAGCATGCAAAGCTCGGCTTTTGCGCGCTAAAAATGAGGGGGAGCTAGTGAGGGGTGGTGTAGTTGGCGATGCTGGGGAGAGAATGAACTCTTCAAGAGGCCTGGCCGGTAAACGACTTCTAGAAGCCGTTGAGATTATAGCAATTCGGAGCTTTCGAGCTTCCGTGAGCTAGGACGAAAGGGCCAAGACGTCACGGATCTTTTGTGACGTACGAATGCGGCATGGTCGGTAAACTCTGTTTGGCTCGGCAAGTTATCAAGGTATTATCATGTCATAGTGGGAAACTTGATGGGTGGGGCATCGTATCACAGTGTGGGACTCGCCTTTCAACATCTATTCATACAGTACGTAGAACGAGTACATACATACCTCCAGCATCACTCTCCTCCCGTCGCACGACCAAGACACATGATATACTAGCAGCAAAGGTTATTTGGCATAAGGCATTAGATCTTTTTTATTATCCGGTCTATATAATACAAGCAACAGGATCATGTCCTTGCTTTATCGTAGCCGCCCAATTCCTGCATGCCACGATGACCGCCCTCCCTTTCCCGTTGACCCATGTGTTGCTTCTCAAATGGCTTTTTATCATGCCCGAGTGGAGATGTGTCTATAAGTGGGTGACCACCCACGGAATCCAATGCCATTCAAACCTTGGCACGCCCAGCCTATCCAGAGGCCGCTCTCTTTTAGTAAGACCCTAAACGCCATGCCGATATGAGACAAAAAACACGAACCAGAAACCAGTATGTAATCAAAAACAGGCAATTGAGCCTCATATTAACAGCGACACCCCATAACACCTCTTAACCAATGCAACAGGGTATCAAAACAAGAGGCCCATCAAACAAAGGAAATGTCACCCTCAATATACCCACATTGAATTTTAAAGCAAAAAGCTTTACACAACAGGGGCCTCCCGGCCACCGCCAAGGAGTTCCAAGACCTTGTTCACCACAGCACTAGGATACCCACGAGTACGCATCTCTGAGACAACAGTCTCAGCCTGATCGCGCTGTTCAACGGCCAAGTAGGCCCGCGTCATAGCTTCGTAAGTGCTTGGCTCCCGCTTCTCACGAGCCACAGCATCATAGATTTCACGGGCTTTGCTGATATTGTTCTGGGCAGCCCAACCATGAATCAAGGTGTTGGCGATGTACGGCGTAAGTTCAACCCGCTTCTGTCGCATCTGGGCAAGGAGAGGCTCGGTATCGGCAACCTGGTGGTTGGCAACCATGGATTCAAAGAGTGCCTGATACAAGCTTGCATTGACAGGCACCAGTGATTCGCGAACAACAGAGTCGAATAGCTTCTTGGCCCCGTCAATATCATGCAGTACACAACCGCGGGCGTGAATTAGTGAAGAGTAGTGGACAGGTTCCGGTTGGCCGGAAGCACGAATCACCTCCAAGACCTTCTCAGCGGCAGGCATGTCGACGGGTTCCAATGTAGCATGAGTGTCGATAAGAAGTTTGAAAGTGTGAGAAGTAGGAGCGATGCCCTTGGCCTTCATGCGCTCGTAGTAGGCAAGTACTTTGGTCTTATCGCGCTTGGTAGTGAGAAAGAACTGCATCATACTATTATATGGCGCAGGACGTGCCTTATAGTTAGGCATCGCCTCCATCTCGTCGAACAGTTCCTCAGCGAATTTCTCGTCGCTTACACGGCACAGAGCGTTAACAATGGTTCCATATGTAACCGAAGTGGGCTTGATTCCTGAAGCCCTCATCTCAGCAAAGTAGAACAAGCAATCGTCGATACGGCGGGCCTTGCCCAACTTGCCAATGAGAGCGTTATAGAGGAAAGAGCTGGGCTCGACACCCTCGGACTTGGCCCTGTGAAATATTTGCACAGCTGCAGAAGCCTCATCAAAAGTCCTGGTGGAGTCTTTCAAGGTCGTAATGTAGAGACCATACGTATTTGCAGACGGAGCGGCGCCCATTTCCAAGAGCTCCTGATGGTACTGCTCGGCGCGGCCACGGTTGCCCAAGGTCAAGCAAGCAGCGACCATGGCATCGAGAATAGAGAACCAGCCATATCGAACAACTGCGTACTGAGCCAGCAAGGGCATGTCTGTTCGAGCCATGGCGAAAAGTTCGTGACACAAGTCCATCTTTCCATCTCGAGCGGCAGCAGAAATCAACTTTGCGTAGGTGATGTAGCGAGGATGACGACCAGCACGGCGAATGTTGCGGAAACGTCCAAGGGCGTCATTCAAGCGAGAGCCTTTTCGCCCATGGCCACCTTCAAGGTCCTCAGCAATGAGAGAAGAGCCCTTGAAATCCGTGTTGTGCGCATAAGGGTCGAAAGTGTCTTCAAAGCTAGCAACAGAAGGTGTTGGCATAAAGGGAGTGCCGTTGTGAGTTTGGGACGCGATCTCACGAGGATCGGTGAGGCCACGGCGTTCCATATAACGCCGGATGAAGTCAACGCCCTCGTCAATCTCTTCAGCTAATTCAGCTTCCGAAGCGCGAATTCTCTTAAACATCATCTCAGATTGAGCCAGACCCTCAGCGACCTGTCCAGATCCAATCAAGGCCACAGCATACATCACAGTGGGCTCAATGAAGTCGACAGTAGCCTTTACTTCGGGGTTGTTGAGCGCATGCCAGTACTTGGTAGCGGCAGCAACGTCGCCACCTCGGATACTCATGGCCAAAAGGGCCGTCGTAGGTGTGACGAGGGCCTGCGGGTCAGCTACGATATTGGCGTAAGCCTCGGTAGCGGTTATATTGTCGTTGTGGTCCGCTGCGACAGTGGCAATTCGGATCATAGCCTCGGACTGTGACTCGGCTTCAACAGACTGTGCCCATTGGAAGGCTTCTTGGTAAATGCCTCGAGAAATGAAGCCCTTGACAAACCCTGTGCTGACCAACGCATCCTTGATGTCCTTGGCACGAACGCCATACTCCTTGACGATTTTCTCGAAGAACTTCATAGCACCTTCAATTTTGTCGGAGACGACATAGGCGTTGATCACAGCCGCATATACCTCGGAGTCGACGCGGTCATGCAGAGTAGCTTTGCCTCCGTCTTGGGCAACGGCCAGGCTACGGTACTCGTTGTAGCACTCGACGGCACTGACTAGGTCGCCTCGCTCAGCAAAGGCGCTGATCATAGTAGGGAAAATAGAGGCAAATGGCACTGTCTTGGTGGACTCCATGTGCTCAAAAAG